CTACTAAATATGTTTTATTAGGTGGTGATTGGAATATGGTTTTTGACTAATCTCTTGATAGATTCCCAAACAAATCCGCAAATGCCCATCCAAACCGGATTCTGTCTAATTTCTGTAACAGTTTGGGTCTTATTGACTTATGGAGAGACAAACATATTAATGAAAAACAGTTTTCTTGGTTTAAATCAGATGCTTCAAGCAGATCTAGAATAGATTTTTGGCTGGGAACAGATGATATTCTCAAACTAACATCAGTCTGCAATATGTCTCCAACTCCTCTTACTGATCACTGTAGCATTAATTTATTTATTACTCCTCTTCCTGAGGGTTTGAGGCATGGTGGGTATTGGAAATTCAATGCAAATCTCTTAAAATCTGATTTGTATTGCAAGGAAATAAAAAAACTAGTGAAAAAGATTCAGTTGGACGATTCTATAATAACCTACACCAAAAAATGGGAATACCTCAAATATAAGATACGGGCTTACTCTATCTCGTTTAGTAAAAACCTAAAAAGAAACAATGACCTGGAAGAAGTAAAGTTAGTTAAAGAGTTAAACCTTTTATGTGTTAAACAGATGTTGACTGATGCTGACAAAAATAACCTCCTGACCTTGCAAACTAAATTGGACTCAATCTATGAAAGAAAGGCCAGGGGTGCTTTTGTCAGATCCAGAGCTAAGTGGATTGAGGAGGGGGGAAAAAACAGTTCATACTTTTGCAGACTGGAAAAGAGGAGGCAAGTTAAAAAAACACATTCAATCCCTTATTATTAATAATAATGAAAGTACGGACCAAACTCTAATTGCAAAAGAAATTAGCAACTTTTACCAAAACCTTTATTGTTCCTCTTTTTCAACCCCAGACTGCAACTTTCTGCTAAACCAAGTCAAAGACTTTGTCCCTCAAATCTATGAGGATTTCAAGGAAATCTGCGACAAAGATATTAATATTGAAGAACTAGACAGCACCATCATGTGCTTGAAACTGGATAAATCTCCTGGCTCTGATGGCCTTACTAACAATTTCTATAGACACTTCTGGGATGATCTCAGAGAGTTTATATTCCAGGTTTTTGTAGAGATCTTGGGTAATAATTCACTTCCAGATACCATGAAGCAGGGCGTTATTATCCTTATACCCAAACCAGGAAGAGACAACAAAGTTCTCGACAATTACCGTCCGAACACCCTTCTAAACTGTGATTATAAACTATTAACGTAGCTTTTTACGAATAGATTAAAGACTGGTCTTAAGGATATTATTTCTGAAACACAGACAGGTTTTATGTCCAAAAGATCTATACATGATAACATCAGACTAGTGCAGGATTTACTTGAGTACAGTGACCTGATTGAGGATAAAGGTTTCATCCTTTTCCTAGACTTCTACAAAGCCTTTGATATGTTGGAACATCAGTTTCTTTTCAAAGTTTTACACATGTTTGGATTTGGTCCAAACTTCTGCAGAATAATAAAAAGCTTTTATAACGGCACCACGAGTTCAGTCGCTCTGCCACACGGTACGTCTCCACGTTTCACCATTAATAGGGGAGTAAAACAGGGCTGCAATATTTCCCCCTTTCTTTTCATCTTGGCTGTTGGAATGATGAATATTTTCATAAAAAACTCAAATATACCTAAATTGAATGTTTTTGATGACCAAATTATAATCAGTCAACTAGCCAATGACACCACAATTTTTTTGAAGAGTCTAGACCAAACCCATAAAGTACTTGAGTTAATTAATACTTTCTCCAAAGCATCAGGATTAACATTAAACCTGCAGAAGTGTGAACTCATGGCGATTCATGGTTCTGACAATACAATCTTACAATATCCCCATTAAATCCTCAGTTAAATATCTTGGAATTTTAATAACTAAAGATGCTAATGTCAGTGAAACTGCTAACATAGAGAATAAAATACAGAACTGCAAATCTCAGTTAAATAGATGGCTCCAAAGAGATCTCACCCTATTTGGGAGAACGTATTTAACCAAAATGGAGTCGTTATCCCGATGCATATACCCAGCTTATTCTATGGCAATACCTAACAAATATATTAAAGCTATAAATCAGCTGAACTTTAATTTTATCTGGAAGAATCGAGTCCACTACTTAAAGAAAGCAAATATGGTTAAAGACTTTAAAGATGGAGGTTTACACGCTATTGACTTTGAGTGTTTAAATGCGGTTTTAAAGGTAAACTGGTTGAAATCTTTTCTTATGAATGGAAATAATATCTGGTATTGTCTCCCAAAAGGTTTGTTTAAAAAGATTGGTTACATAGATTTTGTTCTTAGATGTGACTTTGATGTCAACAGACTTCCTGTTAAGTTATCTGCCTTTCACAAGCAAGTTTTGCTGTGTTGGAAACTAATGTACACACACAACTTTACTCCTCACCAAACTCCCATCTGGAACAACAGATATGTATACACAGGCATAAGTCTCTGTATTTGGATCTCTGGATGGAAAAAGGTATTTGGTCCATAAGACATTTACTTAATGACAGTGGAGATTGGTTGTCTTATGACGAATTTTGCTCGATGTACAATTTGAACTGCTTACGTACTCAATTTAACACAGTGAAGAACTCTATCCCCACTGCAGTCAAATATCTGGTTCAAAATATAAATATTCAATCAGCTAACCTTCAGTTACAATCTCTCCGACTGTTTGGAGTTAACCTTTTGGAAAAAAGTAATTCTAACAAGCGGATGCGTCAGCATCTAACTAATTTTATATTTCCTGTCAGACCAAATAAAAACTCCATTTTAAATCTGTTTTCTGACTCAGAGGTTAATAAGTGGAGAACTGTTTACCTTAAATACCCTCTGAGTCCTAAAGTTAAAGAAGTTCATTTTAAAATTCTCAATAACATTTTTCCATCCAGGGAACTATTAAGACAAAGATTCAACTTTGATACCAACAGCTGTACCTTTTGTGACAATGACATTGAAACTACAGATCATCTCTTTTTCTATTGTGTGCATACTGGAGCATTTTGGAGAAACTTCCAGAACTGGATCTCATCAAAATTTTCCCTGCATTGTTCCTTAAAAAGAGAGGATATAATATTTGGAACCACCCACAGAGACAAAAGAATTGATCTCATTCTTAACAACCTGCTGATCCTCGCCAAATTCTTCATCCATTCCTGTAAATGGGGAAATAGAAATCCTGACTTTTCTGCCTTTAAAAACCTCCTTATGGTCAACCACTTCAGAACCTTAAAACTGTTGAAAAACAAGCAGGGAATACAACTTTTGAACGCCTATATTGATCTAAATTTATTTGAGATTTAATGCCCCTTTGTTTCGTCCTTTTCTGTTTATTTTAGTCTATGCTATCACTTTGTTTGATGTCTGATTATTTTAACTTATAATTTTATTTTACTATCTTTATTTTTATGTTTTTTTTTGTGTGTTATAATTAAGTGTGCCATAAGCCTGTAAGACTTGTTTTCTTCTTGCGTGTACATGCCTCGTGGTATTGTAAACTTGTTCAAATTGTTTAATAAAGTTTTAAAAAAAAAATCTATCGAAGTCACGTGACTAATATCGTTGGGCCTTTATTTGCCTACAAGTTCTTTGACACACATTCAACGTTCTTACAAAAGAAAAATGCACTAGAAATAATTTACTTAGTTTCATACAAAGAAGCCCCCTCGTTTACATTGTGACTGATATTTTTAAGCAGCACAGCAATAATACTTTAATTTAACGCTAACAGCGCGGGTCATTGTCATCAGGCATATTCTCGGCCGTGGTGGCAGTGTGTGCCATCTATTGGCCATTAGAGGAACTGCAAGTGAGGTAAAGGTGGCGTCAACGACGTTTTAAAAATGACTAAATAATAGAAAATAATAAAATCCATTTGATATTTTTTAGCCATCCTCAGTATGTGTAGTAATGTTGAAGGAAAGCAAAAATTAGACTGAGTGGAATGGATGTGTTTGTCGGTAACCATGGCAATAAAGATAACCGGTCGGGTGAGCGCTGTGCTAGCTAGATGTAGCTGAGGGCTTTTAGCAGAAGCTGTGATAGAGTGTGGTGTTTGGGTTAATTGAGTGAGAGGTTTGTGCACGGCACGGTGAGGGGGCAGAGAGGAAGAGACCAGGAGCGACTTCAGGTGGCCGGTCGACATTTGAGCCCCGGTGTACACACACAACAACCGTGATCGCAGTGTATGTTATTGTTTGATTGAAAATGGGTTGGCGGCTGTTAGCCCCAACTCCCCGCTTGAGCCGAGGAGGTCCCCTCCCAAAGGCTCCTCAGCCTGGCAGGGAGCGGAGCTAGCAGGTCCACGCCCCACGAGAAGGGGGTTCCCCACTGCGGCCGTGCGAAGGTGGATCGGGCCTCACCACCCTGGCTACAACCCAGGCAAGGGAGTCTAGTTAAAGCTACGACCTTGCCCGAGGAGACGCATGTCACGACCGCAAGCGGTTCGCCCCGCCCCTCGAGGAGGCGTTGCGGAGTGCTCGCCACACACTCAACTTAATGTGGGAAATGAGGGGGTATTTATACAAATTAATCACTACCCATGATGCTTAGCGGCTTCCATTAGTGACGTTAATGTTTGGAGTT